AAAAAAAAACAGCGCCCCGAGCGCGCAGCGGTGCGGCGTTGCAACTGACGGACAATTGAAAAATAAGGAGACTGCTCGCATTTAGATGTTTGGATTGCGATAAAAAATTGACGAGCGGAGCGGGACGGGGTCAGACGGTGGGGGACGGGACGGCGAGGTGCAGCTATCTGTTGGCGTGGATGCCGGCCGAGTAGGCCTGGATTGGAGGTGATCCTTGCGTTACTTTGTCGTGGAGATTTAGCCGAGGGGTCCCCCACTTCCAAAATGATCGTACAACGAGTTGGGGAGTTGACGAGTTGCCGCGAGTTAGGTACGAGTTTGTATCAATTTTTGGAGAGTTTTGCGATATTTTCCGCAAATTTATCGCGAGTTTTCGCAAATTTTTGCGAGTTCTTGCGAGTTTGACGCGAGTTGGGCGCGGGCAAGTGTACAACTAATTGGCTAGTTGTGGAGCCCCTCGGATTTAGCCCGGTTGACCGTGGTGCTGCCGTTGAAGCAGGAGCGGCCAGCCGCCCAGCTAGCTCGCGGTTTCGTTTCCTGCCCTGCCGCGATACTCCCCTCCCGGTCGCGTCGCCAAAAGAAGTGTATCATCTGCATGTTTAAGGTCCATTACCTGACGGTACTTTTTTTTCTTTTTGATTCCCCAGGTGGCTGATTGACGTCAAGTACTGAAGCGTTTCTCCCGCAGTTTGAAGTCACTCTCTGCATCTTTAACTGTAAGTGTTTTGACTTTGTACTATAATGTGCAGGAATCAACCACACACTTGGGTCAACTCGTATTCTTCTCAAATAACATTTTCGAGCTCACTGTGTTCCCCCGATCATGTCCTCGCAGATCATGGAACACCTCCCGGACGACGTGTTGGTGGCTGTGATGCAGTATCTGGGCGTCCAAGACCTGTTTGCCTGCCGCCTCACCTGCAAGAGGCTTGCCAGCCTGGTGCTGCACCGGGACGTGTGGCGAGTTAAAGACATTTCAGATTCTGAGGGTTGTGTATGCCCCGTGCTGCACCTCGCACCGTGCTTACGGAGATTATCTGTCTGCTTTCCGAAAACGAGATGCAGAGACGCATACACTTCGACCAGGTGCGCTGTAGCAGAATTGAAAATAAGTTTCCGGAAAAAGTCTGGTGCGATGCACGCGACAGCGGTGATCTGCAGGCAGGAAGCTCTCGGACGGCTAAAGAACATTGGAATATTATTGGATAAGAAGACTGCTGACCTTGCTGCTGACGCGGACGAGTCCATATTGTTAAGGACATTAGCTTCGACGTCCGGCTTGGTAGGGCTTTTAGTCTTTGGCATAAGCCTACCTACCACGGCCCAAGCTATGATGGGCATCACCGTGTCGACGCCGTCCCTACAGCGTTTCGTATGTGATCTGTGCCCCAACTCAGAGCACTTTGTAAACTTCATTCTGGCCGGACACGCTTCCACTCTCGAATCGGTGGCCCTAACTTGCTCGGCCGGTGTTGCTGGCCTAACCTCGACTGCGCCCTTGCTGGCCAGCCTGCCCAATCTACGCGTCTTGCAGTCCTGGCACCTCGTCGGGATGGGGGCAGTGGCAGCCTGTGAGAAGCTTAATGAGCTGAGAATCTTCGTGTCTAGCCGACGTGAAGATGAACCTGTCGAGGGGGCTGCAGACCTCCTCCGACGCGCTAAGCACCTTAAAAAGGTGCAGCTAAGTTATTTTCCCCCGGCCAGAAGCGCGGAGGACATTGGTGTGGACCTCGTGACGGTCCTGGCCGCAGGTCGGTCACGGTCACATCTGGAAAGTCTTTGCATTGAAAACTCTCAACTTCGTTCCAACGAACATCACTTCCCACAACGTGAAGCGCTCCTCCACGCCCTACCCTCACTGTCGGCCTTGGTTCACCTGAAGGTTCTCGCCGTGGTAGATCCGGACGAGCTTTTGCTGGCCATCAGGCCCGACATGGTGCCTGCTCTACAACATATTGGTGTGCGCTTGCCGAGAGAGAAGTGCGCTCACGCATGGATCCACAGCCACACGGCCAGAGCAGTGCTAAAAGTGAACCCCTCGATCCATGTAAAGTTGGACGCGCTGACGCCCGCCTGCAGCCTCCAAACCTGTCAGGCGTGCGTACTTGGCTGCCACGAAGTAATGAAGAGCCGAAATCCTGACAAATATAAAAAATATAAACTAACGTCATTTACTGTTTTCTCTCACGACCCGATGGACAAATGTGCCCAGAGCCACACAGTTGTCAATGAAAATACTCTCTGGATTCACATTCCTGTTGTATAAAATACTATTCACATTGTCTCTAAGGCAACTCCTAAATTATTCTCTCGTTTCGTTAGATGTTAACTTGCAGCGGACGTACACACTTTGGGTTTCCATGTTTTATCTAGACCTTAAGTATTAACAGGGCACTATCTCAGAAGACTTTTCATGTACCCTCTCTAACGACTTTTCTGTGTTTAATTTCTTGTGTGATTTTAAGATTGTCATCTCGTTTTTACGATTCAAAGTGAAACGAAACGAAGTTTTACGAGTGACAAGTGTGATTGAAAAAATAAAGTGATTTCTTGTTTACGTGTTTGAGCCCGGGGAAGGGGTGGGTCAGACATTCTTTCTTCCTATCTACACCTGTCGGCAATAAACTCTTGATCCAAATTGTGAAATCAATTGACGTCTGTCTCCCTACTCATATAATTATGACAGTTTTTCTGCTCAGTGACAATGCGACGCGTTTTACACACAGGTCACACAGCTGCCCGCGACGATTTTTCTTTTGTTTCAAAAAATCGTCAGCTGTGGGTGCTTTTCTCTCTCGGAGAAAGAAAGAAAAGTGGGTGATGAAGGTTTCATCGCGTTGACTTGCAGCTTGGTGCAGGGGGCGGCGGTGGCCGGCTGCTGGCGGGACTGTTTAATAGCACGTCTAAACGCAAACAGCACGAGGTTATTAAAAAAGTTGGTCCACCCCTGGCAGCGCGCGGGGCTGGCCCGCCGGGGGTACCGGGGGAGGGTACCTGGCCACAACTGCTCGCTATAGTGGCAAGTGTATACCTTCAACGCATTTCAACAAAGTATTCAACACGCGCTGCGTGTTTGTTTTTTGTTTTTTTTTCGTGAAGTTCTTGAAGCGTGAATGATCTATCTTTTCCGTTCGCGGACACTTTTTTTTCCTCTCTCACGCGGCTTCCGCGTACCCACCGCCCCC